TCGGTCTCACCCGGTCTTCTTCTGGACTCCAGGAGCCTTTCTTGAGCGTCGGGTCCAGAACTTGACTCCATCTGTAGAGGAGCTGCCCTGGGAGTCTGTCCTCCATGAAGTAACACACTGCACACAGGTCAGAGGTCACACAGGGGTCAGGGGTCTTAAAGAGCTGTGATTGGTCATGTCCACACACATTTCCTGTTCTCCACTTCCTCCTGGTGTTGTGGAGGTGAGTTATTTGTCAGAGCATAAACCTCGACACAGATCATGAATCAAACACGACGACGACGAGTCGACTCCACCAGAGGAACGAACGCGAGCGCCTCCGGGTCTGTGTCTCAATGAAAAAGACCATCAGACTTGACTGGCGTCCAGACCGCGGGGCGTCCAGACCGCGGGGCGTCCAGACCGCGCGGCGTCCAGACCGCGGGGCGTCCAGACCGCGCGCGCGTCCAGACCGCGCGGCGTCCAGACCGCGGCGGCGTCCAGACCGCGCGGCGTCCAGACCGCGCGGCGTCCAGACCGCGCGGCGTCCGGACCGCGGCGTCCAGACCGCGCGGCGTCCAGACCGCGGCGTCCAGGTCACACACCGAGTCTATGTGGACGCTCGTCCAGGGCGTCCTGTGTTTTTGTGGCGTGTTTTGGGCGTTCACGCGTCACCGTGGTGACGATCTGGTGTCAGCGTGGTGCGTCTTGAGCGTCCAGGGCGTCGGTGTCAGAAATTGAAAAAGCTGAACTGTTGGCGTCGGTCACGCTGTATCGACCAATCAGGGACGAGTATCCAGAGACGCAGCGACGTTATGACCTCAAAGAAGAAAGAGAGAAACTCCAGAACGACAAACACCAGAACAAGAAACTCTACGCCGAGTCTTTAACGAAGAATAAATATAAACACGCCGTCACCGCCGATCGAGCGCCTCCGCCCAGCGCCTCCGCCCAGCGCCCAGCGCCTCCACCGAGCGCCTCCGCCCAGCGCCTCCGCCCAGCGCCTCCGCCGGAGTTTTCTCCCGTCAGTCGATGGCGACAAAACAAATGTCAGAGCATCTGAACTAAAAAGCAAAAGCTCCAAATACAAACGTCCAGAAAGTTTGAACGACGATTTACGACGAGACGAGTCGAGTCTGAGGGTTTGTGTCTCAGGATTAAGAAAAGAAACTGTTTAGAGGACAGTTGGAGGACAGTTGGGGGACAGTTGGGGGGGACAGTTGGGGACAGTTGGGGACAGTTGGGGGACAGTTGGGGACAGTTGGAGGACAGTTGGACAGGACAGTTGGGGGACAGTTGGGGGACAGTTGGGGACAGTTGGAGGACAGGACAGTTGGGGGACAGTTGGGGGACAGTTGGAGGACAGTTGGGGGACAGTTGGGGGACAGTTGGGGGACAGTTGGGGGACAGGACAGTTGGAGGACAGTTGGGGGACAGTTGGGGACAGTTGGAGGACAGTTGGGGGACAGTTGTTGGGGACAGTTGGGGGACAGTTGGGGGACAGTTGGGGGACAGTTGGGGACAGTTGGGGGACAGTTGGAGGACAGTTGGGGGACAGTTGGGGACAGTTGGAGGACAGTTGGGGGACAGTTGGAGGACAGTTGGGGGACAGTTGGGGACAGTTGGAGGGACAGTTGGGGGACAGTTGGAGGACAGTTGGAGGACAGTTGGGGGACAGTTGGGGGACAGACAGTTGGAGGACAGTTGGAGGACAGTTGGGGACAGTTGGGGGACAGTTGGGGGACAGTTTGGGGACAGTTGGGGACAGTTGGGGACAGTTGGGGGACAGTTGGAGGACAGTTGGGGGACAGTTGGGGGACAGTTGGAGGACAGTTGGGGGACAGTTGGGGGACAGTTGGGGGACAGTTGGGGGACAGTTGGGGGACAGTTGGAGGACAGTTTGGGGACAGTTGGGGGACAGTTGGAGGACAGTTGGGGGACAGACAGTTGGGGACAGTTGGAGGACAGTTGGGGGACAGTTGGAGGACAGTTGGGGGACAGTTGGGGACAGTTGGGGGACAGTTGGACAGGACAGTTGGGGACAGTTGGAGGACAGTTGGAGGACAGTTGGGGGACAGTTGGGGGACAGTTGGGGGACAGTTGGGGACAGTTGGAGGACAGTTGGGGACAGTTGGAGGACAGTTGGAGGACAGTTGGGGGACAGTTGGGGACAGGGGACAGTTGGGGACAGTTGGAGGACAGTTGGGGGACAGTTGGACAGGACAGTTGGGGACAGTTGGGGGACAGTTGGGGACAGTTGGAGGACAGTTGGGGACAGTTGGAGGACAGTTGGGGGACAGTTGGGGGACAGTTGGGGGACAGTTGGGGGACAGCTGGAGGACATTATTGGTGGACATTATTGAGGGACAGTTTGTCTCGTACTCTGGGTGTAGGGGATGAAGTTGCCGATCCTCATCTTGTCCACCAGGGCGCGCAGCTGAGCGTCCTCCTCCGAGCTCCACGTCTTCTTCCTCAGGGACAAAGAGCAGAAACGCTGGAACGTCTGAAGACACATGAACGCCGTCCGAGACGTCTGAGGACCACAAAGGACAAGAAGACGACAAGAAGACAACAAGAAGAGAGGGATGAGAGAGGAGATAAGATCTGCCTAAGGGACAAACAAGTCCTGGTTGAGTCCTGGTTGAGTCCTGGTTGAGTCCTGGTTCAGTCCTGGTTCAGTCCTGGTTCAGTCCTGGTTCAGTCCTGGTTCAGTCCTGGTTCAGTCCTGGTCTTACCCCCAGCTCCTCGCTGGTCCTGGTCCAGTCCCGCTCGTGGTTCTTCAGACTCAGTTCCTTCAGTCTGGAGATCTCGGCGTCCGTCCATCGATCTTTGTTTATTGACGGGTGAAGAAAGTTCTGCCAGAAACACTGAAGGTCCCCGGGCTCCCGACTGCCCTCGAACTGAGACACAGACCGGGTCAGGACCGGGTCAGGACCGGGTCAGGACCGGGTCAGGACCGGGTCAGGACCGGGTTTAAAACATATCGTGCACAGATGTGTAGGACCCCCCTGTCCGCTCACTCAGGTCGGCAGATCTACACCTGCTCACAGTCAACTCACCTGTCACTAACACTCACCTGTCACTAACACTCACCTGTCACTAACACTCACCTGTCACTAACACTCACCTGTCACTAACACTCACCTGTCACTCAACACTCACCTGTCACTAAACTCACCTGTCACCTGCTAACACTCACCTGTCACTCAACTGTCACTAAAACACCTGTCACTAACACTCACCTGTCACTAAACTCACCTGTCACTAACACTCACCTGTCACTAACACTCACCTGTCACTAACACTCACCTGTCACTAAAACTCACCTGTCACTAACACTCACCTGTCACTAACTCACTGCACCTGTCACTAACTCACTCACTGTCACTAACACTCACCTGTCACTAACACTCACCTGTCACTAAACTCACCTGTCACCTGTCACTAACTCACCTGTCACTAACACTCACCTGTCACTAACACTCACCTGTCACCTGCTAACAAACTCACCTGTCGCTAAAACTCACCTGTCGCTAACACTCACCTGTCACTAACACTCACCTGTCACCTGTCACTAACACTCACCTGTCACTAAAACTCACTGTCACTAACACTCACTAACACTCACCTGTCACTAACACTCACCTGTCACTAAAACTCACCTGTCACTAACACTCACCTGTCACTAACACTCACCTGTCACTAACACTCACTGTCAACACTCACCTGTCACTAAAACTCACCTGTCACTAACACTCACCTGTCACTAACACTCACCTGTCACTAACACTCACCTGTCACTAACACTCACCTGTCACTAACACTCACCTGTCACTAACACTCACCTGTCACTAACACTCACCTGTCACTAACACTCACCTGTCACTAAAACTCACCTGTCACTAACACTCACCTGTCACTAACACTCACCTGTCACTAACACTCGTCTCTTGTGTTTCTCTGTGGTTGACTTTAAGTGTTTTGTGTGTCTGTTTTGTGTTGTTAGGGTTGGGACATGGTGGGACATGGTGGTGCCAGGTCGGGGGCGGTGCCAGGTCGGGGGCGGTGCCAGGTCGGGGGCGGGGCTGAGAGGGGCTCCTCATGTCCCGCCCGGAGACACCAGTGTCTGCGCTCCTCCTGTGTCTGACTCATTGGCACCAACACAAAAACTCAAATGTCCTGACCTGGTCTTAAAGACGCCGATCCAGACTCGACTCTGACCCGAAACTCACATTTTTAACAAATCTGCACCAAAATGCCAAAGAGCAGAGACAGAAACAAACTTCTGTTTTAAACATTTCCTCATCAGGAAGAAAACCTGGTGTTTAGTTCTTTAAAGAGTCTTAGAACTAACACAGATCTGATTTGAAAAAACGAGGACAAGCGCCGGACCCGAGCGCCGGACCCGAGCGCCGGACCCGAGCGCCGGACCCGAGCGCCGGACCCGAGCGCCGGACCCGAGCGCCGGACCCGAGCGCCGGACCCGAGCACCGGACTCACGTCGATGTTGGAGATCCGGGTCCAGTCCACGTCTTCGTATCTGTCTCCGATCAGCTCCTCCTCCTTCTTCTCTCTGACCAATCACAGAGCAGACGTGTTACAGAACCGACCTATCACGGCGCAGGAACCGGGGAAACGGCCAATCACACCTGAGCGCCTGGATGTCCTTCTCCAAAACCTGGATCTGCTCCGAGATCTGGACTTTGTTTGAGTCTGAGGCCGAGGAGAGTTTCTGAGACAGGAAGTCCATCCTGGAAACACGAGACGGAACTCGTGAACATCCAAAGTGTGAAAATGTGACGTGCTTTTATTGTGAAGGACGCGACGTGCTTTTATTATGAAGGATGAGACGTGCTTTTATTGTGAAGGATGCAACGTACTTTTATTGTGAAGGATAAGACGTGCTTTTATTGTGAAGGATAAGACGTGCTTTTATTGTGAAGGATGGCCCGTGCTTTTATTGTGAAGGACGCGACGTGCTTTTATTATGAAGGACGTGACGTGCTCTTATTGTGAAGGATGAGACGTGCTTTTATTGTGAAGGATGAGACGTGCTTTTATTGTGAAGGATGCGACGTGCTTTTATTGTGAAGGATGAGACGTGCTTTTATTGTGAAGGATGCGACGTGCTTTTATTGTGAAGGATGCGACGTGCTCTTATTGTGAAGGATGAGACGTGCTTTTATTGTGAAGGATGAGACGTGCTTTTATTGTGAAGGATGCGACGTGCTTTTATTGTGAAGGATGCGACGTGCTTTTATTGTGAAGGATGCGACGTGCTTTTATTGTGAAGGATGAGACGTGCTTTTATTGTGAAGGATGAGACGTGCTTTTATTGTGAAGGATGTGACGTGCTCTTATTGTGAAGGATGAGACATGCTTTTATTGTGAAGAATGCGACATGCTTTTATTGTGAAAGATGCGACGTGCTCTTATTGTGAAGGATGAGACATGCTTTTATTGTGAAAGTACCTGGAGAGTTTGGGCTGGATGAGTTTCCTGAGTCGGTCTCTGGACACGGCGTGGATCAGCAGAACCTTCTGCCAGCCCTCCCCTGGACCACGGGACCAGGTCCAGAAATAAGAAAAACATTCAGAAAAACACGATTCAGAAAAACACGATTCAGAAAAACACAAATACCCCCCTCCTCCCTCACATCTGCGTGTCTTCAGTCTTCTATAGTCCAAACTCCCGACCAGCCGACTGTTCTTCTGTTTCGTCTCCTCGTTTGCTGGAGGACCCTGAAACGAGAGAGTGACACAGTGAGGAGTGACAGTAGTAATAGTAATAGTAACAGTAGTAATAGTAGTAGTAGTAGTAGTAATAGTAGAAGTATTCGTACCAGTCCGGTGAGCCTGTCCTTGAAGTATGGCTTGAGGAAGTTTCCCATGAACAGTTTGGCGGCGACGTGCTCAGAACCTTTGGGTTTGGACTGATCTCGGTCAGAACCGGACAACTGGGCCAACAGCTCCTTCTGCAACACACGAGGAGAACATCATCCAAACACGTCCTGGAACATCTACAGATGGAGAACTTCTAAATATGTCCTGGGTTGTGGTGGTGTTGTAGTGGTGGTGTTCAGGTGGTGGTGTGGTGGTGGTGTTGTTCGGGTGGTGTTCAGGTGGTGTTGTGGTGGTGTTCAGGTGGTGGTGGTGTTCAGGTGGTGTTGTTCAGGTGGTGGTGGTGTGTGAGTGGTGTTCGAGTGGTGTTCAGGTGGTGTTCGGGTGGTGTTCAGTTGGTGGTGTTCGTGGTGTTCGGGTGGTGTTCGGGTGGTGTTCGGGTGGTGTTCAGGTGGTGTTCGGGTGGTGTTCAGGTGGTGTTCGGGTGGTGTTCAGGTGGTGGGTTCGGTGTGGTGTTCAGGTGGTGGTGGTGTTTGGGTGGTGTTCAGATGGTGTTGTGGTGGTGGTGTTCAGGTGGTGTTGTGGTGATGTTCAGGTGGTGTTCAGGTGGTGGTGGTGGTGTTCAGGTGGTGTGTAGGTGGTGGTGGTGTTCAGGTGTGGTGGTGGTGGTGTTCAGGTGGTTGTGGTGTGGTGGTGTTCAGGTGGTGTGGTGATGTTCAGGTGGTGTTCAGGTGGTGTTCAGGTGGTGTTCGGGTGGTGGTGTGTTCAGGTGGTGGTGGTGGTGGTGTTCAGGTGGTGGTGTTCAGGTGGTGGTGGTGTTTGGGTGGTGTTCAGGTGATGTTCAGGTGGTGGTGGTGTTCGGGTGGTGTTCAGGTGGTGGTGGTGTTCGGGTGGTGTTCGGGTGGTGTTCAGGTGGTGGTGTTCAGGTGATGTTCAGGTGGTGGTGGTGTTCGGGTGGTGTTCAGATGGTGTTGTGGTGGTGGTGTTCAGGTGGTGTTCAGGTGGTGTTCGGGTGGTGGTGTTCAGGTGGTGGTGGTGGTGTTCAGGTGGTGGTGGTGTTTGGGTGGTGTTCAGGTGATGTTCAGGTGGTGGTGGTGTTCGGGTGGTGTTCGGGTGGTGTTCAGGTGGTGGTGTTCAGGTGATGTTCAGGTGATGTTCAGGTGGTGGTGGTGTTCGGGTGGTGTTCAGATGGTGTTGTGGTGGTGGTGTTCAGGTGGTGTTGTGGTGATGTTCAGGTGGTGGTGGTGGTGTTCAGGTGGTGTGTAGGTGGTGGTGGTGTTCAGGTGGTGTTGTGGTGATGTTCAGGTGGTGTTCAGGTGGTGTTCGGGTGGTGTTTGTCACCTGTTGTCTCTCGTTTTCCTGCAGCAGAGTTTCCAGTTGTTCCAGAGTTTCCTGAAGAACCTGCTGATAAACCAGGTTCATCTGGAGACACGAGTCCAGAGACGGAGGCAGCTCCAGGTCACTCTGGGACACGAGGGACAAAGAGACGTTCACCAGAGACACGGAGACACGAGGGACAGAAGAGACGTTCACCAGAGACACGGAGACACGAGGGACAAAGAAGACGTTCACCAGAGACACGGAGACACGAGGGACAAAGAGACGTTCACCAGAGACACGGAGACACGAGGGACAAAGAGACGTTCACCAGAGACACGGAGACACGAGGGACAAAGAGACACAACGAGAGGAAGAGACTGACCTCATCACTGCTGCTCTCCTCGTCTTCCTCATCTGAAACACACAAGAAAACTGGACTAAACCAGAACTAAACCAGAACTAAACAAGAACTAAACCAGGACTAAAACAGGACTAAACCAGGACTAAACCAGAACTAAACCAGAACTAAACCAGGACTAAACCAGGACTAAAACAGGACTAAACCAGAACTAAACCAGAACTAAACAGAACTAAACCAGGACTAAACCAGGACTAAAACAGGACTAAACCAGAACTAAACCAGAACTAAACCAGGACTAAACCAGGACTAAAACAGGACTAAACCAGAACTAAACCAGAACTAAACCAGGACTAAACCAGGACTAAAACAGGACTAAATCAGAACTAAAACAGGACTAAACCAGGACTAAACCAGGAACTAAACCAGGACTAAACCAGGACTAAACCAGAACTAAACCAGGACTAAACCAGAACTAAACCAGGACTAAACCAGGAACTAAACCAGGACTGGAACCAGGACTGGACCAGGACTGGACCAGGACTGAACCAGGACTGGACCAGGACTGGACCAGGACTGGACCAGGACTGAACCAGGACTGAACCAGGACTGACCAGGACTGGACCAGGACTGGACCAGGACTGGACCAGGACTAAACCAGGACTAAACCAGAACTAAACCAGGACTAAACCAGAACTAAACCAGGACTAAACCAGAAATAAACCAGGACTAAACCAGGACTAAACCAGGACTGAACCAGGACTGGACCAGGACTGAACCAGGACTGAACCAGGACTGGACCAGGACTGGACCAGGACTGGACCAGGACTGAACCAGGACTGAACCAGGACTGGACCAGGACTGGACCAGGACTGGACCAGGACTGGACCAGGACTGAACCAGGACTGGACCAGGACTGAACCAGGACTGGACCAGGACTGGACCAGGACTGGACCTTGTACCTGGGTGGTGTTGTGTGAGGGAGGACGGTCCCAGGCTTCTCTCTAGTTCTTGGATTTCTCTGTGGAGAACGTCTCTCTGCTCCAGCAGCTCCTCAGGTCCAGGTCCAGGTCCGGGCTGGTTCTGGTCGGGTTCCTGGTCTTCGGAGCTGACAGATTCTTCTGGACACAGAGATCATTTTAGTCGTGGAGTTGACAATTTCTACTGATCTAAAGGGAAAAGGAACTGTGCCACTTCATGACATCAGAAGGTGGAACAGAGCGGATGGAGATGTAAACAAACAAAAAAAAGATTTAAACGAACAAACACAACTCCAGCTCTGAGTGCGACCAGGAAAGGGGGGCGTGGTCAGGTGGTAAAGGGGCGTGGTCAGGTGGTTACCTGAGTCTGAGCTGATCTGTGTGAGGTCTGCTGTGTTTAAACTCTGCTCCAGGAGCTGCACCTCCATCTGCAGACGCCTCCTCTGCTCCTCCAGAGACTCTGCCCCAGACATCTGAAAAACACCACGGTTCATTGGTAAAGAACCTCCAGAACCTTCAGAACCTTCAGAACCTGCACAGAACCTCCACAGAACCTGCACAGAACCTCACAGAACCTCACAGAACCTCCAGAACCTGCACAGAACCTCCAGAACCTGCACAGAACCTCCAGAGCAGGTTGCAGAGGCGCGCGCGCGTGTCAGTGTGTTTTGTTCTAATAAACTTGCCGTAGTTGTTCGAGTCCGTTGAGAAGCTGCAGGTCCGAGAGTCACGTGTCCGCGCGCGTTTCATAAACAATCAAATAAAATGAATAAAAAACTTTTACGTGTCGTGTTTTTTTTTTTTTTTTTAATCTTTTCGTCCGGACGCAGCGGACACTTTTACGATCTGAGGCAACGACACAACAACGTCACAACGTGAACGTGCAGAGAACGTAGTCCCGGTGACGTCACGGGGTCAGTCTCGGTCCTGACCCCGGAGCCACGGAACCCCGAGTCACCCGAGTCCCTCTGCCCCCGGGTCCCTCTGCCCCCGAGTCCCTCTGCCCCCGAGTCCCTCTGCCCCCGAGTCCCTCGTGTCTCTCTCGTGTCTACCTCGGGTCCCTCGGGTCTCCCGGTGTGACGCGGTGGCAGAGTCGTTTGCATACGGCGCGCGCGGGGCGTGTTTTGGCGGTAAACCGGAGCATCACGCGCGTCCCCGGGGCTTTACCGGGAGCCCGGGCGCGTGCACCGGCGGCACGGGAGCGCGCGGGGGTAAAACCGAAACGTCAAAGAGAAAAGTGAAAGTTTGTCCGCACCGTGAGTCAGGTCTGTGTGCGCTGCTCCGTGCGCCGCTGTGTGCCGTCCGGACACAAACACACACCGTGACAATGGTTCCGCCTGAAACACGCCGACGCAGCTCCTCCACAGATCTGATGCGTCATGACTCTGACTGTTACACTTTAACTGTTATTATACTGTATTTACTATTTATTTAATACTATTTATGAAATGAAATATTATGTGAAACTTCATCATAAACAAGACAAGAATTAATAATAATAATAAGTTCAAATTATAAAATAAACAGAAATGACCATTGAGAGGGTAAAAAAAAATGTGAATGCAAAAAAAAAAAAAAAAAAAACAGCATCAATGTGAATCTAAATGAATAAAGATAAAATAAAAAGATAAAAATAAAAATAAATCGTTCTGCCGTAAGTCTCAGTGTGCTTTTTCTTCTGTGTCTCCCTCTGGTGGACGAACGCAGGAAGCGCATGAACATCACTTTTTCTTTCACATTTTCTTTTTTATTTCGTTGTTTTTACGCCACGAGCCCGAGGAACATTTTTATGGAGTAAGAAAGCTGTCAAAAATATTCGTGCGCATAAAATAGAAATCCGTGCTTATTTGGCTGTAGTTGCGCATAAAATAAATATTTGTAAACTCTATTTTATGTCCAGTCGTACATAAAATATATTGTGTGTATTTTATCCATCAGAATACGAATTGAAAAATTACAACGTCATGAATTACAATCACGAAATGAAAATTTACGATTACACTTTCATCAGTACGAATACGAATTCACAGACGGAACTTTACTGTCAAAAATACATCATCACTTCACAGACATTATCCATCGAGCAGAAGAAACATCGATCAAGATCAAGACTGAGCAGCTCAAGTTTGTATCAGAGTAAAAACAGAGTAAAATGACACAAGAAGAAACAACAGAACAACAAGTGGGTTCATTCAAATCTATTGTAAAAATGTCGAATTCAGGAACCGAACGCTGCTGTGTAATATTGTGTAGAAACACCTCCTCTGAACGGGAAACTGCACCTATATGTTAGAAAACATAGTGGAGCCAGTTGGAAACATCAGACGTAACGTTCTCCCAGGATCATTAACAAATATCAGGTTCTCTGTGTGTTTAGATTAAAACATTCACGACTCCAGCCACAGCGAACATCAGTCAGTCTGAACCTTCAGCTGCATTTCTCACATGAAATGCCACCAACACTTCCTCTGGACGCTGAAATGTCCCAGTTTACACCAAACACCAAACTGTCCTGGTTACAGACGTCACAGCCAATGAAATGTTACACATTACACTTTAATGCAGCTTCAGCATCAATTAATGTTCATGTTTACAGGCAACACCTTGGTATGTTTACATGTCATTATAACTCATGTATAACCCATTATAATGTTATAACTCATGTATAACCCATTATAACTCATGTAAACCATGGTATAACTCATGTATAACTCATGTATAACCCATTATAACTCATGTAACCATTATAACTCATGTATAACCCATTATAACTCATGTATAACCCATTATAACTCATGTATAACCCATTATAACTCATGTATAACCCATGTATCATTATAACTCATGTATAACCCATTATAACCCATTATAACTCATGTATAACCCATTATAACTCATGTATAACCCATTGTCTGAAATGCAGCTGAAGGTTCAGACTGACTGATGTTCGCTGTGGCTGGAGTCGTGAATGTTTTAATCTAAACAAACAGAGAACCTGATATTTGTTAATGATCCTGGGAGAACGTTACGTCTGATGTTTCCAACTGGCTCCACTATGTTTTCTAACATACAGGTGCAGTTTCCCGTTCAGAGGAGGTGTTTCTACACAATATTATACAGCAGCGTTCGGTTCCTGAATTCGACATTTTTACAATAGATTTGAATGAACCCACTTGTTGTTCTGTTGTTTCTTCTTGTGCTTTTACTCTGTTTTTACTCTGATACAAACTTGAGCTGCTCAGTCTTGATCTTGATCGATGTTTCTTCTGCTCGATGGATAAAGTCTGTGAAGTGATGATGTATTTTTGACAGTAAAGTTCCGTCTGTGAATTCGTATTCGTACTGATGAAAGTGTAATCGTAAATTTTCATTTGGTGATTGTAATTCATGACGTCGTAATTTTTCAATTCGTATTCTGATGGATAAAATACACACAATATATTTTATGTACGACTGGACTCATTGGAGAGTTTACAAATATTTATTTTATGCTCATCTACAGAGAAATATGCACAGATTTCTATTTTATACGCACAAATATTTTTGACAGCTTCTTACTCCATACATTTCACTCATCACTTTGTATTTTGTATTATGTGATTACAGCGTTTCCATGACAACAGATTCAACTTAAGAACCGTCCCTTCAAATACATACACAAATATTATTCAATATTATCACTGTTTTTACTGTTTTGAACTTTGCTCTAAGCCCCCTGACCTTCTTCTCTTCTTCTCTTCTTCTCTTCTCGAGTTCCTTCAGGTCAGAGCTTTTCTTGGTTGATCATCTGACTCCTTCTGACACAAAATGGAGGTTCTTCTGCCAGGGCCGGACTGGGACCAAAAAACGGCCCTGGACTTTTCTCTGACAAATCGAAGAACCTGCTGTCACCGGCCCCACGACCGGACGGACGTTCTGGACTTTTCCAGGACGTACAGATCGCCGGTCCGCCCCGTTTCTGCACAAAGTCTCAGGTCCAAACGCCCCAGAGCCTTCAGAACCTCCAGAACCTCCAGAACCTCCAGAACCTCCAGAGCCTCCAGAACCTCCAGAACCTCCAGAACCTCCAGAACCTCCAGAACCTCCAGGGAGATTCTGTCAGTGTACTTTAGGGATGTTCTGGACTTGACTGGGTCCAGTTTCAGTCCGGGTCTTGGTTCGGTCCAGTTCCAGACTGGGTCTCTGGTTCACCTGTGGACTATCTTCACACTCTTAATGTGAAAGTCCCGCTGCAGAGTCAGTACATCCGGGGCTTTTGCTGTGAAAGGGCGCGGGTACCGGAAGAGGTGTGCGCGTGTCGTGAGGAGAGGCTCGCGCTGAAGGTCACCTCCTCCTCCGCATCCCCATCCTCCTCCTCCTCCCGAGCGGAGCGGGTCAGACCGGGTTTGGACCGGGTCAGACCGGGTTAGGCTGGGTTCGGACCGTGCTCAGAGCTGCTGCGGTCCCGGTTCGGTCTGTGGCCTTGTCCCGGTGCGCGCGGAGGGAATCCCGTGACGCTCCCCCGCGGCGCGCGCGCGCATCCTCCCGGTCTGTCCCCGGTGTAACCCCGCGCTTCTCCCGCCGGAGCCCGGGCCGGTCTTGGTTCTGGTCCCGGTTCTGTCTCCTGTAGCTCCGGTGTGTCCGGTGCGTCTCCAGGTTCTGGTCCCGGTTCTGGTGCGGGTTCGTGCCCCGCGTGCTCCGCTCCGGTGTGTCCGGTGGTTCGGGTGGTTCCGGTGGTTCCGGTGGTTCGGGTGGTTCGGGTGAGTCATGGGGAACCGCGGGATGGAGGAGCTGATCCCGCTGGTGAATCGGCTGCAGGACGCGTTCGGGGCGATCGGGCAGAACGCGGCTCTGGACCTGCCGCAGATCGCGGTGGTGGGCGGACAGAGCGCGGGAAAGAGCTCCGTGCTCGAGAACTTCGTGGGAAAGTGAGTGGCACGCGCACACACGCACACACACATGCACACGCACACACACCTGAAGTAGGCCTACTGTCTGAGGATGCACGTGCACAGTCTGCACATGCACGCGCACGGAGAGGGCAGTGCACGCGCTGATGCTGTCCGTGCACGCGTGCACATGATGACAGCTCCTCGTGCAGTTGTGCCTCGGGTCACCTGCGCACGTGTTCTGCGCACTGGCGCTGTGCAACAGGCCTAAAGTGACCTATCCTCACGTGACCCACCCTCAATCCTCTGGAGGACTATTCTCTGTAGATCTGTAGATCTGTTCTCTGTAGGTCTGTAGGTCTGTTCTCTGTAGGACTGTTCTCTGTAGATCTGTTCTCTGTAGGTCTGTTCTCTGTAGATCTGTAGGTCTGTTCTCTGTAGATCTGTTCTCTGTAGGTCTGTAGGTCTGTTCTCTGTAGATCTGTTCTCTGTAGGTCTGTTCTCTGTAGATCTGTTCTCTGTAGATGTCTGTAGTTCTCTGTAGGTCTGTTCTCTGTAGATCTGTTCTCTGTAGGTCTGTTCTCTGTAGATCTGTTCTCTGTAGGTCTGTTCTCTGTAGGTCTGTTCTCTGTAGATCTGTACTCTGTAGGTCTGTTCTCTGTAGGTCTGTTCTCTGTAGGTCTGTTCTCTGTAGATCTGTTCTCTATAGGTCTGTTCTCTGTAGGTCTGTTCTCTGTAGATCTGTAGATCTGTTCTCTGTAGGTCTGTTCTCTGTAGGTCTGTTCTCTGTAGGTCTGTTCTCTGTAGGACTGTTCTCTGTTGGTCTGTAGGTCTGTTCTCTGTAGGTCTGTTCTCTGTAGGTCTGTTCTCTGTAGGTCTGTTCTCTGTAGGATGGGAGGGCATCTGACATATTTGCGTTTCAGGGACTTTCTTCCTCGTGGTTCTGGGATCGTGACACGTCGCCCCCTGGTGCTACAGCTCATCAACTGCCCCACAGGTGAGTCCAGATCCGGACCAGACCCAGACCTGGACCAGACCCAAACCCAGACCAGCTGTCGTTTGGACTTCAGAGCTCCATAAACATGTTCTTCACACGTCACCAGCTCCAGAACTCTGGTCCTGTCTCTGGTCCTGTCTCTGGTCCTGTCTCTGGTCCTGTCTCTGGTTCTGTCTCTGGTTCTGACCCGGTCCTGGTTCTGTTTCAGAGTACGCAGAGTTCCTTCACTGTAAGGGGAAGAAGTTCACGGATTTTGAGGAGGTTCGTCTGGAGATCGAGGCCGAGACCGACCGAGTGACCGGCGCCAACAAAGGGATCAGCCCGGTGCCCATCAACCTGCGGGTCTACAGCCCCAACGGTACTGGACCTGGACTGGACCTGGACTGGACCTGGACTGGACCTGGACTGAATCTATAACAGACCAGGACTTTAACTGGACTTTAACGGTACCGGAGGCGGAGAATCAGACCCTGAAGAGAGAGACCTGACCTTGGTCTCTGTAGTCTGGTCATAATCCTGGTCTAACCTCGGTGTCTCTAGTCTGGTTATAGTCCCGGTCTAAACCTGGTCTCTCTGGTCCGCAGTCTTGAACCTGACCCTGGTGGACTTGCCTGGGATGACGAAGGTCCCTGTGGGGGACCAGCCGGCCGACATCGAGGCCCAGATCCGGGACATGCTGCTTCAGTTTGTGACCAAAGAGAACTGTCTGCTGCTCGCCGTGTCCCCCGCCAACTCCGACCTCGCCAACTCCGACGCCCTGAAGATCGCCAAAGAGGTCGACCCCCAAGGTGAGCCAGACCGGTTAGGATCCTGCTAGAACTTCATGCTGATACTGGTCCAGGGTGAAGTGTTCCTGAGGTTCCACCGGTTCCGTTTTCATGTGGAGAGACAGAGAACAGAACCAGAAACCAGGTCACACGTCTGACTCTGGGCTCAGGTTCCTCGGGTTCCTCGGGTTCTGGTTCCTCTGGTTCTGGTTCTGATTCTTCTAGTTCTTCTCAGGTCTGAGGACCATCGGCGTCATCACCAAACTGGACCTGATGGACGAAGGAACCGACGCCAGAGACATCCTGGAAAACAAACTCCTGCCCCTGCGCCGAGGTAAGACCTGGTTCAGTCCTGGTTTAGACCTGGTCCTAGGTCTTTTCAAAGGGTTTGTGGGGGGGTTCAGTCCTGGGTCAGTCCTGGGTCAGTCCTGGTTCTGGTCCTGGTTTAGTTCTGGTTCTGGTAATGGTTCAGTCCTGGTTCTGGTCCTGGTTCAGTTCTGGTCCCGGTTCAGTCCTGGTTCTGGTTCTTGTAGGATACGTCGGTGTGGTGAATCGGTCTCAGAAGGACATCGATGGGAAGAAGGACATCACTGCGGCTCTTCAGGCTGAGAGGAAGTTCTTCTTGTCTCACCCGTCCTACAGACACCTGGCCGACCGCATGGGCACCGCCTACCTGCAGAAGGTCCTGAACCAGGTGAGACAGGCCCCGCCCCTGAGCCCACGCCCCGCCCCCAAGACCCCCAACACCAGGTCCCTAACACCAGGTCCCCAACGCCATGTCCCCAACACCAGGTCCCTAACACCAGGTCCCCAACGCCATGTCCCCAACACCAGGTCCCCAATACCAGGTCCCTAACACCAGGTCCCCTAACACCAGGTCCCTAACACCAGGTCCCTAACACCAGGTCCCTAACACCAGGTTCCCAACGCCATGTCCCCAACACCAGGTCCCTAACACCAGGTCCCTAACACCAGGTCCCTAACACCAGGTCCCCAACGCCAGGTCCCTAACACCAGGTCCCTAACACCAGGTCCCTAACACCAGGTCCCCTAACACCAGGTCCCTAACACCAGGTCCCCAACCAGGTCCCTAACACCAGGTCCCCAACACCAGGTCCCCAACACCAGGTCCCTAACACCAGGTCCCTAACACCAGGTCCCCAATACCAGGTCCCCAGCACCAGGTCCCCAATACCAGGTCCCCAACACCAGGTCCCCAGTGCCAGGTCCCCAACACCAGGTCCCAACACCAGGTCCCCAACACCAGGTCCCCAACACCATGTCCCCAACACCAGGTCCCAGTAACACCAGGTCCCCACCAGGTCCCAACACCAGGTCCCCAACACCAGGTCCCAACACCAGTCCCCAACACCAGGTCCCAGGTCCCAACACCAGGTCCCCAACACCAGTCCCAACACCAGGTCCCTAACACCAGGTCCCCAACACCAGGTCCCCAACACCAGGTCCCCACCAGGTCCCCAACACCAGGTCCCAACACCAGGTCCCCAACACCAGTCCCAACACCAGTCCCCCAACACCAGGTCCCCAACACCAGGTCCCTAACACCAGGTCCCCCACCAAGTCCAACACCAGGTCCCTAACACCAGGTCCCCACACCAGGTCCCCACCAGGTCCCAACACACCCAACACCAGGTCCCCAACACCAGGTCCCAACACCAGTCCCCAACACCAGTCCCCAACACCAGGTCCCCCAAGGTCCCCAACACCATGTCCCCAACACCAGGTCCCCAATACCAGGTCCCCAAACCACCCCAACACCAGGTCCCTAACACCAGGTCCCTACACCACCACCAGGTCCCCAACACCAGGTCCCCAACACCAGGTCCCCAACACCAGGTCCCTAACACCAGGTCCCCAACACCAGGTCCCCAACACCAGGTCCCTAACACCAGGTCCCCAACACCAGGTCCCTAACACCAGGTCCCCAACACCAGGTCCCCAATACCAGGTCCCCAATACCAGGTCCCAACACCATGTCCCCAACACCAGGTCCCTAACACCAGGTCCCCAACACCAGGTCCCTAACACCAGGTCCCCAACACCAGGTCCCTAACACCAGGTCCCCAACACCAGGTCCCCAATACCAGGTCCCCAATACCAGGTCCCCAACACCAGGTCCCCAACACCATGTCCCCAACACCAGGTCCCCAACACCAGGTCCCTAACACCAGGTCCCCAACACCAGGTCCTGATGTAAAATAATAATCTGTGAATATTATTTTATTAATTCAGCATCTGGAGTAAAACAGAGGGAGGGCATCTGGAGTAAAACAGAGGGAGGGCATCTGGAGTAAAACAGAGGGAGGGCATCTGGAGTAAAACAGAGGGAGGGCATCTGGAGTAAAACTTGTTAAACTTTTTTCCAGCAACTGACGAACCACATCCGGGACACTCTCCCTGCGCTCAGGTCCAAACTGCAGAGTCAAGTCCTGAGCATCGAGAAGGAGGTGGAGGAATACAAACACTACAGACCCGACGACCCCAGCAGGAAGACCAAGGCCCTGCTGCAGTGAGTCCAGACCAGGACCAGGACCAAGACCAGGACCCAGACCCAAACCAGGACCAGACCAAAGACCAGAGACCAGAGACCAGGACTGTAACAGGACTAAAGACCTGAGCATCGAAGAATACAAACACTACAGACCCGACGACCCCAGCAGGAAGACCAAGGCCCTGCTGCAGAGTCCAGACCAGGACCAGGACCAAGACAAGGACTCAGACAAGGACCCGGACCAGGACCAGGACCAGGACCAGACCAAAGACCAAACAGTCTGATCATTGTAGTCTAGTTATAGTCTTGCTAAAATCCTGTTATAGTCCTGTTATAGTCCTGTTATAGTCTGGTTATAGTCCTGGTCTAACCCCGGTCTGGTCCCAGGATGGTGCAGCAGTTTGCCGTGGACTTTGAGAAGAGGATCGAAGGTTCTGGAGATCAGGTGGACACCTACGAGCTCTCAGGAGGAGCCAAGATCAACCGGGTCTTTCCACGAACGCTTCCCCTTCGAACTGGTCAAGGTGAGACCCGCTTTAGACCAGGTTCAGTCCTGGTTTAGTCCTGGTTTAGTTCTGGTTTAGTCCTGGTTTAGTCCTGGTTTAGTCCTGGTTTAGTCCTGGTTTAGTCCTGGTTTAGTTCTGGTTCTTTGTGTTGCAGTTGGAGAGCGATGAGAAAACTCTTCGTAAAGAAATCAGTTACGCCATCAAGAACATCCACGGAGTCAGGTACAAGTACAAGTACTTTTCTGTTAATCCACAACATGATGTTAGTAATACTACTGCAGTAGTAGTAGTATTAGTACTGTACTCCAGACATGGTGTTTGTAGTAGTAGTACTGCAGTAGTACTGTAGTAGTAGTACTAGTACTTGTGTGCAGGACGGGGCTGTTTACTCCGGACATGGCGTTCGAGACGATCGTGAAACGTCAAATCGCTCAGATTAAAGAACCGTGCACCAAGTGTGTGGATCTGGTCATTAACGAACTCGTCAACACCGTCCGACAGTGTACGCAGAAGGTACTCCACCTACACCACCTACTCCACCTACTCCACCTACTCCACCTCACCACCTACTCCACCTACTCCACCTACTCACTACTACCACCTACACCACCTACTCCTCCTCCCTACTCCACCTACTACTCCACTACTCCACCTACTCCACCTACACCACCTACTACCACCTACTCCACCTACTCCACCTACTCCACCTACACCACCTACACCACTACTCCACCTACCCACCTACTCCACCTACACCACCTACTCCACCTACTCCACCCACCTACACACCTACTCCACTACCACCTACTCCACCTACTACCACCTACTCCACCTACTCCACCTACTCCACCTACTCCACCTCCACCTACTCCACTACCACCTACTCCACCTACTCCACCTACTCACACCTACTCCACCTACACCACCTACTCCACCTACTCCACCTACTCCACCTACACCACCTACTCCACCTACTCCACCTACTCCACCTACACCACCTACTCCACCTACTCCACCTACTCCACCTACTCCACCTACACCACCTACTCCACCTACTCACCTACTCCACCTACCACCACCTACTCCACCTACTCCACCTACTCCACCTACACCACCTACTCCACCTACACCACCTACTCCACCTACTCCACCTACTCCACCTACACCACCTACTCCACCTACCACCTACTCCACCTACTCCACCTACACCACCTCCACCTACTCCACTACTCCACCTACTCCACCTACTCCACCTACTCCACCTCCACCTACCACCTACTCCACCTACTCCACCTACTCCACCTACTCCACCTACTCCACCTACTCCACCTACCACCACCTACTCCACCTACTCCACCTACACCTACTCCACCTACTCCACCTACTCCACCTACTCCACCTACACCACCTACACCACCTACTCACCTACTCACCTACTCCACCTACTCCACTACACCACCTACTCCACCTACTCCACCTACTCCACCTACACCACCTACTCCACCTACTCCACCTACTCCACCTACACACCACCTACTCCACCTACTCCACCTACTCCACCTACTCCACTCCACCTACTCCACCTACTCCTACCTACACCTACTCCACCTACTCCACCTACTCCACCTACTCCACTACACCACCTCCACCTACTCCACCTACTCCACCTACACCACCTACTCCACCTACTCCACCTACACCACCTACTCCACCTACTCCACCTACACCTACACCACCTACTCCACCTACTCCACCTACCACACCTACTCCACCTCACCACCTACTACCTACTCCACCTACTCCACCCTCCACTACCACCTCCACCAACTCCACCTACTCCACCTACTACACCACCTACTCCACCTACTACACC